TTCTTCCTTTTTTTTGGGGGGGGGGAGGGTCTCTCTCGCTTTAGGGAGGCTAGAGCTTCCTCTCATTTTCTTCTTCTTCCCCTTAGTTTCTTCTTTCTATCTTTACTTTGGTTTGGCCGAGCACCTTAATTGGTTGGTCTTTTCTTCCTTATCTGTTGATGGAATCACAGCTGCATTTGTAGCGCGAGCAACTTCTCTTTCAATTGTCACTGAATAGCAGTGACTCCTTCCTCCAATCTGTTGTCTGTTGGCCAGAAAAAAGAGGGCTCCCCTGTTTTATACTTGGCTAGAACTCATATTAGGTCTTTATCAACAGGAATCACAGTAGGTTTGGCTCTCGCTTTCTATCTCTTCTTCTCCTTTTGGCTGGACGTATGTCAGCCGAGCTTACTTTCTTCTTTTGAGTCCTCCTCTTTGCTCCTTTTTTTTGTGTTTTTTCTGTGAGTGGATGATAGGGTTGGTCAAATAGACATAATATTTAGTATATAAGTTTATTAGGCGTTATTTTGTAATTTATTTTGTACTTTTCTACTCATAATCTAATTTTAGAATCAACAATTTTGATATCCATTTTTTATTTTAATTTTTATTTTTCACATGCATCTTATTTCACGAAGCATTTCTCAAATCTTCGTCCCATTATTTGCCTAATAATTAAAATGTAATTATTAAGAAAAAATTCAATAAAAATGAATAATTTAATTCATAAATATTGAGTCTTTGTCCCATTATTTGCCTAATAATTAAAAGGTAATTATTAAGAAAAATTAAATAAAAGTGAATAATTTAATTCATAATTATTGACTCTTATTAATCGTCTAAAAATAAAAAATATAAGTAAATTTAAAAAACCACTGCATTCATAGCATTAAATACTTTAATTAATTGAAAATTTAAAATAAATAAATAATTATTTATTTATTACAATAATATACTTACTTAGGCACATGATTGCGTGGGAAATAATTAAAATATTAATTAATTTTAAATTTTAAATAATTAATTAATTTTTAAATTATTAAAATAATATAGTTGCCAAAGCACCTAGTTGCGTCAATAAGAACTAAAATATTAATTAATTTAAAATTTGAAATAAATAAATAATTATTTAATTAATTAAAATAATCTACTTACCGCCACACAGGGTTGCATCGATAAGAATTTAAAAAATAAATTAATTTTAAAATTTAAATAATATTAATTATTTAATCCTTTAGCGATGAATGCATTTGCATCAGAAATGGCATCAATAAAGAAAATAAATATAAAAAATAGAACAAAAATATTATTTAATATATAATTTTACTAATGCCTTTTGTGTTGGTAATTCACTGTTGCGTCAGAAAAATTGTCTTTTCGATAAATTTGCATCGAAAATTGTGTCAAAAACTGGACACTTTCTTTGTCACTTTTTTCATTTTTCGATGCAAATTGCATTGAAAAATTACCGATGCTTTCATTTTGTGTTGAAAATTGCTCACTGATGGGCGTTTTTCCAACGCATTGTTTTGCGTCATTTAATGCATTGGAAATTTGTTTTTCGACAATTCTTTTGTCTTTATCAACACTTTTTGTGCATTGATAATCTCTTTATTTCTTGTAGTGAGTCTTCAACTCTACATGACGTGCTACATTTATAACAGTCCTAATACCTTCATTGTAGGTTAGATTTTGTTTCATTGTTTCTTAATTATCTTGGAGAAAACGGATCACAGCTTGCACTTGCTATTCATTGGTCAACACATTTTCTGTATTTTTTTATTTTCTAATCATACTGGACATCTCTCTAAGATGTTGTACCATTGAATGATTAAAATGTTTTTTATAACTATTAAATTTGATAGTTAATTGTCGCAGTGAGCAGTCGTGTATTACTCATATTCACGAAGGAGATCATCCTCTATTACACTTATTAGTATGCACTTTATTATAGAGTCTTTCTATTTTTAGACCTTATAGGCCTCTTGGTCACGCTAGTTTTGGGCAGTATTGCCTTCACCAAGATTACTCATAGTTTGGTTGACAATTTTTAGAGTCTTTTGCTCTTCAAGAACATATTGTATTTTCAAGTGCTAAACATGATAATTTTCACTATTAAATGTCTTATCGCCCATATTTAGTTTGACAATAATACTATTCGAAACTATGATCTGTTTTCAATATAAAGAGATTTCATTTAGTTTTTAACACAACACATATTCTAACCAATAAGTTACTGAATTGAATCTATAACATGAAATCAGGTAGCCGTTAAGCTTTCCGCCCATCATCCATAATTACAAATCTTGTATTTCAATTTTAGTCTATTTAAATAAAATTTTATTTAACAATAATTCACATAGAATTATATATAGTCTAACATATAGATTTTTCATGAACAATAGTCGCATAAAAATATAAATAAAAGAACATTATATTTAAATTGTCCCATGAAATGTAATTAATATAAATAACAACTAATAATGATGAAAAACATTATAAGCATCCAACCAAAGATAATAATGGCATTATAAAGCTTCTTAGTCTTCAATGCTTTTATTACATCTTTCGTTTCTTCCTCTGTGATCGGTTCAAAAGTGTCATTGGTATCATCAACTAGGACGGCTGAGATACTATCATTACTGTCTTCATTATTAAGAATTTCTTCTTCAGGATCACTCTTAAAGTCACTTCTATTGTATTAGAGTCATAGACCACTTGAGGTATGACTTCATCTCTCAAAACTATAATATCAATGTGAACCAAAAACTCTCTTAGTAAGTTCGTTTATGAGATATGCTCGTCATGATCATATCTCATCTCATATCTTATCTTAGAAAGGAAACTTGGGAGTAAATGGTATAAAGCTCGAATCTTGTAATTGTTTAATGCAGGAAATATTTACTCTTCTAAAAATTCTATGAGTTTATTGAGTTTTGCTGTGAAACTCCTCGTGCTAATATCACTTCAGTATTAGAGTTTCTCAATAGCCTCTCTAATTTCATTTCGAAGTACCTCTCTCTTTGTCATGTGGTGGTCTATGTCACAATCTAGAATAATTTAATAATTACAAAGCACAAAATCATAGTTAGTACATAACTGACAAACTAATATAAAATCAGCTTAAATCATTTTAAAAAAATTAAATTATCACACTATATTCACACAAATCATATATGAGGTTCCATAGAATTTTTTAAAAAAAATTAAAAATTTTTAATCATTTTAACTAATTTTTAAAGTATTTTTCACTAAGAAAAATAATTTAAAAATAATTAGATAACCCTAAAAAATTAATTAAAAATTTTCTTAAAATATGTAATTTAATTTTGGGCTCATTTGTATCATTTAGGGAATTATGTTAAACCCAAAACCTTTATTTCTATAATTAAATAAATATTTTTCAATAAAAAAATTTATTTTAGACATTTATATTACCCAAAAAATTAAATAAAAATTACCATACAATCTAAAATTAAAATTTGGACATAACAATGAAAAGCACGTGCCAATCAGAGGTCCCATGTGCCTTCCCATGACAAAAGACTATGACAAAAATTTTCAAATATTCACGCACCATACATGCCCATGTGCCACACAAGCCTTGCGTGCCATGCTTACACACACGCCATGTGCCACACACTATGCAAGTGCCACACGTGGCGCATGTGTTACATGTGTGAACCACATCAGCCCACACACATCATTAGACATGTCAGCCACCATGTTAGCATATGGCACGCATTGCTTGCCATGTGTCATACATGTTGGATTGCATCACCACATGTCACCATGCTAGGTGAGATGCAGAAGAACGTGGGTGGTAATTGGCGATAATTGCTAGTAATCGCTTCACGTGTTGCTGATGGCGTGTGGAGTAAATGCACCACCTTGTTAGTGTTTTCTAGTTTCCTAATTTCGGTTAGCCCCCAATTTTGGAGCCTTCTAAGTCCAATGGTGGGCTCAGATTGTGTTTTGAGAACTCTAAGTCTCACTTTGGGCTTCAAAACCAAGAAGCCCAAAGTGGGTTTCGAAAAATAAATGATTTTCAATTTTCTAAATTGAAGAAAAAATACAAAATCAAGCTGAAAATTCAAAAATTCACAGAAAATCACACGGTTGTCTATTTTCAACACATGATATATCAAATTGAATGTTTTTCTAAACTCTATCCAACGGTATAAATTTCATCTCATAATTTTGAACACACAAGAAAGAAAGAATTTTCAAATTTTATACCTAATTTATGAATGAAAATTCATAACTTTTTGTATACTCAACCACAAAATATAATATCTTCACATTGTGATCGATTTCATAGGAGAATATTGTAGAACATTTTTCAAGACATAATTTGAATCCAACCTATAATCATCAACATTGATCCATCATAAAATTTTCTTAAGAGAGAGGAATAATATGGTTTTGATACCATTTGTTGAATTTAAAGTACTAACAAATACATAATTTAAAGTTAATTTACTTCAGATCATTTGCAGCAGATTTTAAGAATAATTTCTTTCTACTTGCTTTGAGAAGATCAAGAAATGATGAATCAAATTTACTAAATTACAAGTTAAATACCTTTGATGTATTGTTGAGAGACTAAAGAATATTGAAGTGAGATATATATATATATATAGAGAGAGAGAGAGAGAGAGAGAGATTTTCTATTTATTCATCCAACTCCTTTGACGTTATATCACCGTGACATATATAGCCATGTACAAGGATAGTTATAAGAAGTTGTAATTTTTCTTTTAAATTTAAATTTAAATTCGGATAGGGTTGACCCGTTACGGACAGGCCTAATCCGGCCTATTTTCCAACAATTATGTTCTACCCGATTCATGAGCAACAGCTACAACCTGTTTCCAATGTTCCGGCCAGTAAGGAGGCCATAGGGCCATTCTCGAGGCATTTGGCTATATTATATTATATGTATACAATCATCCCATCTTTTATGTAAGCAAGAAGGGTGCTGATGAACTCTGGGTAGAGGTGATAGTAGACGAAATCATTCAGTCCTTAGCAACTACAACTAACTGTTTCCCGACGTTACGACCGCTGGAAAGTCCTACTAGGGCTGCGGGACCTTTCTCAAGGCCTTCAGCAATGTCCTCAACGTAAGTAATCTTTCCTTGTCTGATGAAGGGCAACACGGTGTCTAAGAACTTGGAGTAGTCGGAGAAGTAATCAGCTGAATTGAATCCTTCCATGCGAATGGACTTGTAGACGAGACACATCAAGTTCTTCACTCCTTCACGTTGCTTAACATTGTACTGGGAGACCATTCCACAAACAGCAATACGGCCATGTTTTCTCATGTTGAGAAGCACTGCGTCCAGCGTCTTTCCCCCGACATTCTCAAAGTAAATGTCAATTCCTTGGGAAAGTACCTACCCACAATCAATCAAACAACAGTAATTAACATTTACTATAAATTCATTTGATGGATTTGTTACCAAAGTTGACAAAGATAGATGATGAACAGGTACTACTGAAAAGATAGATGATGAACAAGTACTATTGAACTACTAAGTTTTTCTGATTTCATGAAAATGCATTAAAACAGTTACACCGAATAATTGGGCCCATCAAAAAAGCAACATCAGATAATAACAAATGAAGACAGAACGTGTAAACTGATTCCCTTGAGATTCAAGGAAGTATTCACACTTCTACATAATTTT